TGGAGGCTGGGAGGCCAGGGAGAAGGCTAGAGTGAGGGAGGGAGAGGAGAGGGTTGTGGGGATGGAGAGCAAGGGATAGCGTAGAGAATTGGGCAGTAGGGACAAGGCTTAGGGACTGAGGTACTGTGGGCATGAAGAGGCAGAAGAGAGTGAGGACAGTGCCTGGGAGTTGGGCCCAGTGGAATAGGTAGCAGATGGTGACAGGGGTGTGGGTTGGTGGGCAGTGATGGCTGGGGGTCCAGCCCATCTCCCACTCCTCATCCATGGCTATCCCTCCTCAGTACCAGAGGCACCTGTTTGTACACATCAGCCAGCACTGTCCTAGCCCTGGAGCGCCCCCTCTAGAGAGTGTGGACGTCCGGCAGATCTATGACAAATTCCCTGAGAAAAAAGGCGGTCTGCGGGAGCTGTATGATCGTGGACCCCCCCATCGCCTTCTTTCTGGTCAAGTTCTGGGTGAGTTCTGCCACCAAAACCAAGAGTGCTTGTAAATCACGTGGCTTTGTAGCGAAGGCCCCTGGCTCTAAGGGAGACAGTCAGTCTCAGGACCTACCAGGTCAGCCTGGGCCTTATCAGTCCTCATGGCTCAGAGTGTCAGCCCCCTTAGTAACAAGGAGCTCCAAGGAGTTTTGTTTGCCCACAGGGTGGGATGGATGGGGCCAGCACAGGTGTAGGGACCTCCAACCTCCCCAGATCCCACTAGATTTTGTGGCACCCAGTCATGCGACTGATATGGCCCTGGGGATTGGCTTGTGACATTTTAGACTTCCCCGTGCCCCACCTGAGCACACCAAGCCTCATCACTAGGAATGGCCCCTTCCCCTTAGCGGATGAGTCCTGGAGTGTTTGTTTGGTCTCTAAAGAGGGGACAAGGCTTTGCTGGGTTCCACCAGACCCTGTTGCTAAGAATGTCTGGCCTTGAAGCGATGGAAGGGGCTGGGGAGTGGCTTTGTAAAGTCCTGTAGCTAGTTATCATTTACTGAGCACTTACCATATATAGGCCCTCTGCTAGGTATGTAATTGTGAATTAGAGTGTCCATCTTGGGTCTTTCTTAGACTTACTTGGTTTGGTGTCCAGTACAGTGACTGATGCTATAGGGGTTCAATAAATGTTGTGAAGGTATAGCGGGTGTTAGCTCTTGTGGTAACCAGGGCTGTTGAGGGATCTACATAGTCTCTGAAAAGGAAAGCCCATAGCTCCTGTGGTTATAAAGTATTCTGGTACATGGAGTGGAGCCCTGCACTGGCTCTGGGGATGTGCTGCAGAGCTTTTAGGCCTTAACAAACTTAAGGCTTAAGAAAGGGCTTAAGAAAGGCCTCACAAGGTCCCAGGTCTGGAGAGCAACCCTTCAGAAGCCCAGTTTCTGAAGGGATATAGGGGAGTGGCTGAGAAGGCCTTCGGTTTTGTCTGGCTTCACAAGGACCTGTTCCCAGGGTGATGGATGGAGTCAGGCCTCTGAGGAGACTAAACCACCCTGGAGAGTGACCTGGTCTAGTTAGCAACTAAAGTTAAAAAGAGGAAGAGAGATGCCTCCCAAGAAGGTGGCCAAGGGGCTCAGGCCAAAGGTGCGATGGGGTCAGGGCTTCATTAGGCCCCTCTTGGCCTACTTGACTGTCTGCCCCCTTGGCTATTGGGGTCATGGAGGGGGTCTGACCTCTGAAAATCTGCTGAAAGGGCCTGGCAGAGTTTTCTAGAGAGGAGTCAGGCTTCCCTAGGCCTCTCCAGGCTCCGTAGCTAGGGAGTAGCCACTGTCTTAGCAACCAGGGTCATGAAGGGGTCTGAGGGAGAGCCTCTGGCTGCTAGGGAAAAGCTGCCCTTGGAAGGGGCTGAACTCCTGAGTTGGGAGCTTCAGGAGAAAAAGTTGAATTCCGGGGCTTCTTTGGTCGTGTTGATGGTGATGGTGATGGTGGAGGGTTACTGGGAAGAGAGTGTCAGGACCATTTTAAGGACCCCAACTTCTCTAATATGTATGGAAGGAAGGGTGAGTCTTCTCCAGAAGCTGGCCCACGGAGAGGTAGAGACTTTGTTGAGAAATAGAGGAGGGCAATGGGAGACACCAGGTCATGCAGCAGAGTTAGTTCCCACTTTAGAGGAGTCCCCACCGTGTATAAGGGACGTCCCCTCCAGCTTACCTGTGCCTTCCCATCCCCTAGGCGGACCTGAACTGGGGCCCGAGTGGCGAGGAGGTGGGGGCCGGCGGCAGCAGCAGCGGTGGCTTCTACGGCGTGAGCAGCCAGTACGAGAGCCTGGAGCACATGACCCTCACCTGTTCTTCCAAGGTCTGCTCCTTTGGCAAGCAGGTGGTGGAGAAGGTGGAGGTGAGGCTGGAGGGGTGGAGCTCTGGGCGGGTGAGCGCCCAGCCACCTGCCACTTCGGGGGTGCAGACTAAATGGACCAGGAGCCACGATGGCTCAGGCAGTTGGGGAGCTGCATGGTGGGATGAGGGGGTGGTATATTAGCCTCTGTAATACATGGGCTTAGAGCTAATCCAGAGTTCCAAAGTCACCTGTAGGGGTCACTGTGAGGGTTTAAAGATACTGTGTGGAACACATATTAACAGTTATTAAGATTCAAAAGTTTCTTGTTTTTTAAAAAATTTATTTATTTTTTGTTTGTTTATATTTTTGGGGGAGAGGGAGGTAATTAGGTTTGTTTGTTTGTTTGTTTGTTTATTTATTTCTTTTTAATGGAGGTACTGGGGATTGAACCCAGGACCTGTGCACACTAAGCGCATGCTATACCACTGAGCTAAACCCTCTCCTGCAAAAGGTTCTTATTGATGTAGGGGAGTCCTTGGGGCAAGGAGGTTCAGGGGCAGGGGTCACTGGGGACTTGAGGGGTCTCGTCTCATGGAAGGGTCTTTGGAGGGTTTAAGAGTATCTGAGGGCCTGGAGGTCAGAGGAGTTGAGATCTTTGAGGGTTCAGAGTACAGCTGTGAGAGGCTGGAGGGTTCCCTGGTTGCAAGCTCAATGATCCTGAGTTGGGTAACTGAGGGTTCAGGGTCCCATTTCTGGTCACTGTAGATGGGGCAATGGAGGGAAGATGGCGGTGGGGAGTGGGTATGGCATCTCAGAGGCACGGAGTACCTCAGTTCTTGAGGTAACTCCACTGTCCTCCCCACTCCTTGCCCCCCCTGCCCTCAATTCAGACGGAGCGTGCCCAGCTGGAGGATGGGAGGTTCGTGTACCGCCTACTGCGCTCACCCATGTGCGAGTACCTGGTGAATTTCTTGCACAAGCTGCGGCAGCTGCCCGAACGCTATATGATGAACAGCGTCCTGGAGAATTTCACCATCCTCCAGGTGATGCACTGGGGCTGGGCCTGAGCAGGGCCCTGATGTGGAGGGAAGTGCCCACAACAGACCCTTAGCCCGGGGACCCTTCACCTGGGGAACTGACACAGTGTGGACCTCACACTTGACCCTTAGCTTAGGGGACACCTTTGCCCAGGGAACTGATATGGTGGGGATTCCACAGCATTCTCATATTAGGGGATTCCTTCTATACTGGGGAAACTGACCTGGAGGACACCCCACAGTGGATCTTCAGCTTAGGGGACCTCCTTCACAGGGAACCTAACCTTAGCCTAGGGGACATGATATGGTAGGATCCCTTTTAAGTTGGGGAGTGTGATATGGTGGGACCCCCTTGATACACCATCTGATGTGAGGCCCCTCACTGCTGACCCTCAGACTTGGAACCTGGCATGTTGGGCATCCCCTCTACCTGGGGGAATGTGACAAGGTGGGGACCCATTTCCTGGGTATCCCATGACACCTCAGGGAGGGCAGAGTGTTCCCTGCCCTCCCTTCCAAGCATAAACCCTTTCTGGCCTCCTTGGCAGGTGGTGACAAACAGAGACACCCAGGAACTGCTGCTCTGCACCGCCTATGTCTTTGAGGTCTCCACCAGTGAGCGGGGGGCCCAGCATCACATTTACCGCCTGGTCAGGGACTGAAGGGGGACCCCAAAAGTGGTTCATCCCTGGAATACCCTCCTCCTAGGAAGGACCTCCAGCTTTCCTCATGCTTCTTACTTGGGGAGGGGGCTGCCCCCTGTTAGGACCTTTAAAGTTGGGTGGTGAGTTGAATGGGCTGGGACGAGAGGAAAGGATGGATCCTGATATTGGGACCTCACAGGGATGTGTGGAAGGACAGATCACTCCAGAGCTTTAGACACTGGGGACAGGAGTGAGACAACCCCTGGGACAGCACTGGTTTCTGTCTCTAACAGGTGCCCTCCTACTCTGTTCTGGATGTTTCAGAGGGCCCTTGTTACACATTGGCTTGCCCCTCTCCGGTTTTCAGCACCCACCCCCTCTCCTTAGCATCCCCACCCCCTGACCCTGATATCGAATATTGAAGGTTAACATTTTCTGTTCAAGAGCAGAGCCAGGTGGGCCCTGGAAATATTTTTCTTTTTTAATATAACAAGAGATATTTATAAGTGGGTGTTAGGGTTTGTAACTTTTTCTCGGCTGGGCAAGCAGTGGGGTGAGGCTTTTTAATCTCATGCCCTTTCTTCTAAGTGAGCCATGGGGCTAGACTGTTGCCTCCCTCTTCCCTCACCCCAAAGTGTGTTGGTTTGTGTTTTGACAGAGGATAAAGCTATTTTACCAAAGCGCAGGGGATTTATTTGGAGTTTGGGTGAAAAACATTCTTGTGGGAGGTGGTAGGCCGACAGATGAGAAAAGGAAATGAGGTATTAGGGGGCAGGAAGCTGGTGGCCGGAAACCCCAGGTCCCGCGGGAGAGGTGACAGTGGGGCAGGCAGATGCCTGGGACCCCAAGGGAATGGGGAGGCAGGGCTCAATGGGTGGGGCGAACTAGGGATTAAACAAATATTTACATGCAGCAGGGAACTAAAAGCCCAGAGCACTTGAGGAGGTCGGGGCGGGGCTTCGGGAGGGGCGGGGCCTAGCGGTACCGAGCGAGCCGGTCGTAGATGTGGTCCAGGTTTCTGCACAGGAATATGGAGAGCGCCATGAAGCTGAGCTACAGAGAAAGGAGACGTGGTCAGAGAGGTCGCGGGTTTGCTGAGGAGAGTAGAGGGGTGGGGTAATGGGGGAGTCCCAAGGGAGGAAATTTAGGGGCTTAGGAGGTGGGGCCATGGGAAGAAAATAAGGCCCAGCGAATTGGGCGGGGCTGCGTTATGGGAGGTGTGGAGAAAGGAGTAGATAAAAGGTGGGCGGGGCTAGAGAGAGACTTGACCCTGGTTGTGAAAGACCGGGTCAGGGACCGGAGTTTGGGGGAAGTTAAGAGCGGTGGATCGGGTTGGGTAAGGGAACCTAGCTGCGTCTATCGCAAGTCTAGAGTCTTGAGTGAGATTCGGAGTAAGCCCAGGGTCCTTTATTCCGGAGGCTCATTTGTCTCCCCCTCCGTCTCGGCCTCTAATTCCACCTCGGCCTCCACCTCTTTGCCCGAGCTCCCGGTCTCAAGTTGTTCCTCGTGTTGATCCCAAAGCGGCCAGGGCCCCAGAGCCATGGGTAGCTTGCCCTGCGGGGCCTTGTCCCCCCAGTTGGGGCAGGCATCAGCCATACCCCAGCCACCCCACACATTGCCGCTACGCCCGCTGCTGCTCAGCACACCATAGCGCCCGCCGCCGCCATCAGTGCTCGGCCCGGGCCCGGTGCTCGAACAGTAGGCATCCGGGACCTGCGGCTGGGGTTCCCGGTGGAGCATGCTGCGCGGTAGTAGCAGGGTCAGCCCTGCCACACTCACCTGCGGGGAAAGGGGAGGGATATCGCGGCCAACAGCAGGAGGCTGATATGCCAAGGAGGGCCAATGGGAGCCTCGGAGGAAGGGCGGGAACGCCTGCTCCCTGCGTGCAGCCAATCAGGGCTCACAGAGGCTAGGTCTCCTCCCTTGTCCAGGTGGAGCGGCAGGAGGGACTGGATTGGCTGATGCCCTATCAGGCATGCGCTTTTCTCAGATGTTTGGATGCGCGACCTGGGGCAGGGTCATCTAGGCCAATCGCGATTGGGGGCGGGACCAGATCACCTCAAGGAGACCCACGCCAAGACAGATGCCCACTATGGAGATGAGGTTGTTGCGCAACCACTTCTGGAGGTTCCACTCGCAGCCCTGGGGATGTACGGAGAGATTATTAGGTAGGCTTTTTGGGATTTGCCGTCAAGCCTGGGCTCACTGTTTTCAAGCCCAGCCTTAACCCCTCTTTCAGGCACCGCTCTCACTTCGCTAGTTATCGGGGTTCTCTAATTTCTCCGTTTCACCCCGTCCAAGCCTTCCCCTCCCCAGGCATCAGCGTTCCAGATCCTGTCCTTTTGGCTAGGCCTTTTCTTTAGGCCCCGCCCTTCCAAAAGACCCTGCCCCTGTTACGGGCTCTACCCCTGTAGTATGGCTCTTTCTTGTAGCCCCACCCTACTGGCATACCCCTCCTACGTCCTGCGGGTTAGTTTACGGGGGACCACGCCCCTCCCGGCAGCACTATGCCACCCACAGCCCCCTTCCCTTTCTTGTGGTTCTTGTTCCAAATCCTACCTCTCGGTAGATGTAGCTGTTTGCAGGGACCACGCAAATGTCTGCATTGTGTCGAGGCGGGGCCGATGATCCGAGCCGGCTGAACTGGGGGAAGGAGATCTTATCGAAGATTGCGGAGTCGTTGGTCGCTGATGAATTATAGCAGGAGCAGGGCACGTGGGGCACTTCCGACTCGTTTCTCTTCAGGCTGGGGATGTGGAACCAGTCCTGAGGAGAGTTCCAGCCGCAGCAGCGCAGCTGGGAGAGAGACAAGAGTCAGAGGAACAGCGACTAGAGGGATGCAAGATGATTTAGGGGATCAGGGGACTGGGTGATGGGTATGAGGTCATATTGGGGAACAGAGGACTAAGTGGCGGGTGCAGGGTGGGGTCTGTGGGCTGGGTTGGGGTCAGGACAGGGCCAGGGAATATTAGGAGAACATGAGGTTTGTAGAGATGAGTCGCGGCAGGGTGGGGAAAGGCTGAGGCTGGGGTGTCATGCTGTGGACTGAAGATTGGGTAGGCAGTGCAACTCAGCCTCAGGTAGGGGAAAAGTGGATGGGAGGGCGGGCCGTGTGAGTGACCAGGGAATGGAGTCTCACTTAGGCCAGGTTCCTTGGGAACCAGTCACTACTGGGCAGGGAGTAGGGGTCACGCACGGGCCTTCCTTGGGGCTAAGGGTGGAGCCACCAGGGTCTGGGAGCTGGGGGACTGGGTCACATTGGGGTCAGTTGTGTTATCATCTGGGGGTCGGCCACGACAGGTCTGGCAGGAGGTGGCGTAGGTGGGTAGGGTTATATTAGGGTTCTACAGCCTAGGGACCCGGGTCATGCTGGGGTGGAGTCTCCTCGAGGCAGAGGGCAGAGCTGCGTCAGAATTCCAGAGCTGGAAGAGGAAACCCGGTGGGTGGGGGCCTCACGCACCTGGAACTGCACGTAGTCCCAGCTCTCCTCTGCCGCTGTCTCCTCCGGGTGGGCGCGGTAGTTTTGGATCGTCTTCTGCACGACGTCCTTCACTTTCCGCTCCAGCTGAGAGGCCGAGAGTGAGGCTGGACCCTGACGCGTCTCCCTACCGCCATCTGCTCCAACCCACTCTAGCCACCCCGTGCTTGTCTCAGTCTCACGTGGTCCGTAAGCATCTTCGTGTCGGCCTGGGTTTTTCACCGAATGGAAAGACTGTCTCTGTCCCTCAAAATGTCTCTCTTTGCCCGTTTCTACCGTCTGTCTTCTGGTTTCTCTGCTATCTCCCGCGATCTCTCGTTATCCGAGTTATCTCTCTCTTTATCCGAGCCTTCTGTTTCTCCCGAGTGTTTTCCCTTTTTTCCTGTTTTCCTTTAGATCTCTGTCTCTCTTGGTATGTCTGTCTTCCTCTGTCCTTGTCGGGGAGTCTTTCTCTGACTCTCCCTGTCTCTGTCTTCCTCTCTGCCAGTCTCTGTATCTCTCTGTCTCTTTTCTGTCTTGTCTTCTGTCTTCTCTGTCTCTGTTTTGTCTCTTTGTCCATACCATTCCCCCATCTGCCTTTGTTTCCATCTTTCCACCTCCCACACCCCAACGCCCACCCACTAGATGTGGGAGGAGGAGGGGGAGAAGGCGTCAAGCTCACCTGGACCCACTGAGTGGAGATGAGGATTCCCAGGGTAATCTGCGTGGCAAACAGGAGCAGCAGTGTCCCAAAATACTAGGGGTGGGGGACAGAGTGGAGAGGTCAGATTGAACCCCTCCCCAGGATGAAGGGGCTGTCAGGGCTCTCTCTGAGGACGGGATGTGAGTGGTCCTAGGGATGGAGAGGGGACGGGGCACTCACCAGGCCCAGGAGGCAGCGGAACTCCTTCAGGGCCCCCACACAGCCCAGGAGGGCCAGGCCCATGGTGAGGATTCCTGAAATGGCCAGGGCCTTGGACCAGATCTGCAAGGGCATGAAGGACAAGCCTGGGGGAGGTGAGAGGCAGTGATGTTGGACTCCATGTGCATGGCTCCAGGCAGCCCCATTCCCCAGACATGCACCACCCAAGTCAGGGACCAGTAGCTTGGGGAGCTCCCGACATCCTTTCTCTGGGTCTCTGTCCCTGTCCCACCTTGAATCTCTGTTCCTCTCCTTCTGGGACTCTCTCCACCTCTCTCCTCCTTACTGGCCCTCTCTCTCTTTAGGCCTCTGTTCCCTTCTTTCTGAATCTCTGTCCCTCTTTCTTCCTGTTCTCTGTCTCTCCCTTTTGCTCTCAGTCTCTCTTTCCTCCTTCAGCTCCTCCTCAACCCCGATAGTTTCAGTCCCATCATTTAAGTGATTGAATCAGTCTCCTAAACCTCCCCGAGGCTGAGGGGATACTGATACCTATTTCCTAGGATTGTTTTGAGAGACGCATGGGAGGCATGTGTTCAGTCTGATCCTCTCCACCAGGCAAACACTGATTAAATCTGAGCTCTGAGGATTTTGACTATTCCCCAGTTACTGTTTCCCCAGAGTTATTATTAGTGTTACACCTGCTCTTCTACCTCCTTGCTGTGTGACATCCAGTAAATGACTTCCCCTCTCTGAACCTCAAGAGAGGGGAGGTTTATGGAAGGCTCTGATGCGTATCTGCACAATATCTGACACATAGGAAGTGTCTGAGAAATCGCCATTATAATTGGTGTGCAGAGGAAGAAGCTGGGGCTCAGAGAGCTGTGGCAGTAGCAAGCGGTGAAGTGGAGCCTGGGACCAGACCAGGGAGCTGGGCACCATGGGACTGACTGGGACAAGGGAGGCCCCAGGAGGCCCCATGGGGGGAGGCCCGGTTCCTGCTGCTCCAGGAAGGCCCTCCCAGACTGCCCCGGCCCCCTTACCCACAAAGGACACAAAGCTGGTCTTGTCGATGAGTATCCAGATGCCGAAGCAGAAAATCAGGCTGCCAAAGACCTAGGGAGAGGAGATGAGGATGTGGCTGCTGGGCAAAGCAGGGGGTATAAGATCGGGTGTCGGCAGCAGGGGCTGGGGCCTGGGCTGGGGAGCCAGCCAGGAGGCAACTCACGAAGAAAAAGAGGTTGAAAACGAAGAGGAGGTACTTGATGAGGCTGAGGCAGCCGTCCTGGGCCGACATCTTCTCCTAGAGGGGTGAGACAGTGGGAGGGACAAGACAGAAGAGGTGTTGCCAGTAGGGGACACAGGCCAAAAGACAGAGGCCGTGAGAGAAAGAGGGCGAGAGAGAAAGGAAGAACTCAGACAAAGAGGAAGTTTCAGGGTGGAGCCCCACCCCCTCCCTCCACACATGAGATGACTTTCTTCTCAGTCTCCATCCCCGTGTCCCTCACCTGCCCCACTGGGATGTGCACACCAGTACCTGAGGGGCCTTGGAATCTGTGGGCACCAAGGACACACCAGGCAGGCCATCCCGAGTCTCCATGGCTCAGAACAGGGGACCCACTGGGGATCGTGATCTACTTGCACTCATCTACTCTGGGCACCAGGACCCCAGGCTGGCCCTGGACAGCAGCCGACCTCACAGACACTCTGACCTCACCGCTTGCTAAGCTCTGCCATCTCTGCGTCCTCTCTGTCCCCACTGCCCAGTCCTCCCAGTCTCTTGTCCTCCCACTCTAGGTCTCTGTTCTTTTCTCTCTGGATCTTTGTCCTTCTCTTTTCCTCTAGGTCTCTGTCCCCCACCTTCCCCAGGTCTATCCTCTCCCTCTCTGGATTTCTGGCCCCCTCTCTCTGCATTCCTGTCCTCCCTTCTCTGTTTATCTACCCATCCCCACACCCCCACTTCCCGTCATTGTCCCTCTCTCGGAGTCTGTGTCCTGTTCTTGGCAACAAGTGCAGATCAAGGTGATCCTGTGCGCTGGAGCAGGGGCTGGGCACCTGGGGGAAGTGAAAGTGCTGCTGGCCCCAAGGGGGAAGGTCCCCAGCAGCCCCGAGGGGTGACTCGGACGTGCCAAAACACCCGGAGCGGAAGCTGAGCTGTAGGCAGTTCTTCCTGCTTCTGCAGTGGGGCCCCAGGAGGAGGCGGCTTCTCAGGAGTCATGATTGAGCCCAGGACCTTGGCCGTTATATCTGGCTTTGCAGTACCTGATCGTCTCTAGGCATGAGCTGTGCCCCCAGTGGCCTCTGAGGTCTCCCCTGATGCCCCTGCAGGCTCCTCATTTTTGTCAGGTCCCAAATTCCTCCCAGATTTCTGGCATTGTGGATGTTCCTACCATCCTGACATCCACCCAGGCCCTGGAAAACCAGACCCTCTTAGAGACCCTCTCTCTCTTCTGAGAGATCTCATCCACTTTTTATTTTTCCATAAAGGCTTCAAATGTAATTTATTTTCTTATTAATGTCATCAAAAATCAATTCATATTAATAGTATTCTGATTTTTGCCTCTGGGCTTTCTCCCCCCCCCAGATTTACTGAGGAATAACTGACACGTATAATGGTATATATTTAAAGTTTACAGAATGATGACTTTATATCTATCTATCTATCTGTCTATCTATCTAGGAATGATTATCAAGCTCAAGATTAACACATTCATCATAATTAACACATTCATCATCCCTCATAATAAACTTTGTGTGTGTTTGTGTGTTTGTGTGGTGAGAATACTTAAGTTCTACTCTAAGCAACTTTCCAGTATACAATACTGTATTATTAACTATAGTCACCATGCTGGACATTAGATCCTCAGGTTAGAGCTTCTTTTTCTTATAAATTTTTACGCTTTGACCTATGTCTCCCCATTTTCCCTACTCCCCAGCCCCTGGCATTCACCATTCTACTCTCTGTTTCTAAGAAATTGGCCTTTAAAGATTATATATCTATCTATCTCACATTTTCTTTTTAATTTAATGGAGGTACTGGGGATTGAACCCTACCACTGAGCTATACACCTCCCCCAATCTCACATTTTCTTGATCCATTTGTCTGTTGAAGGACATTTAGATTGCTTCCACACCTTGGCTATTGTGAATAATGCTGCAATGAACATGGGTGTACAGATATCTCTTCAAGATACTGATTTCATCTCTTTTGGATATATACCCAGGAGTGGGACTGCTGGAGCATATAGCAAATTTGGTTCTATTTAAAATTTTTTGAGGAACCACCACACTGTTTTTCATAGGGGCTGTACCAATTTACATTCACACAACAGTGTACAATGGTTCCCTTTCCTCCACATCCTCACCAATAATTGAGATCTCTAGTCTGTCTTTTTTTGATAATAGCCATCCTAAACAGGTATGAGGTGATACCTCATGGTTTTGATTTGCATTTCTGTCATGATTAGTGATGCTGAGCACCTTTTCATGTATCTGTTGGCCATCTGTATGTCTTCTTTGGGAAAATGTCCATTCAGGTTCTTTGCCTGTTTTCAAACTGGATTATTTGCTTTTTTGCTGTTGAGTTATACGAGTTCTTTATGTAACTTGACTATTAACTCTTTATCAGATGTATGATTTGCAAATATTTTCTCCCATTCTCCATTGAAAAGGTTGCCTTTTCAATGTATTGTTTTCTCTGCCATGCAGAAGCTCTTTTGTTTGATGCAATCCTACTTGTTTATTTTGGCTTTTGTTTCCTGTGCTTTTGATGTCTTATCCAATAAACTATTACCAAGACTAACTTGCCAAAACTTAAGGAGCTGTTTCTCTGTGTTTTCTTTTAGAAGTTTTACAGCTTCAGGTATTACATTTAAGTCCTTAATCCTTTTTGAGTTAATTTTTCTGAGTGGTATACAATAGTGGTTCAATTTCATTCTTTTGCATGTGGATATATGCTTTTCCTATTGTGTGTTCTTGACACCCTTGTCAAAAATTAGTTGACTGTACATGCATGAGTATATTTCTGGGCTCTCTATTCTATTTCACTTGTCTATGTGCCTGTTTTTATGCCAGTACCACATTGCTTTGATCACTGTAACCGTAATATAGTTTGAAACCAGGGAGTGTCATGTCTCCAACTTCATTTTCTTTCTCAAGATTGCTTTGGCTATTCAGGGTCTTTTGTAGTTCCATACAAATTTTAGGATAGTTTTTATTTGTCTATTTCTGTGAAAAATACAATTAGAATTTTGATAGGGATTGCACTGAATTTGTAGATTGTTTTGGGTAGTATGGATGTTTTCACAACACTAATTCTTCCAATTCAAGAACATAGGATATCTTTCTATTCATTTGTGTCTTCTTCAGTTTCTTTCCTCAGTGTCTTATAGTTTTCAGGGGACAAGTCTTTTACCTCCTTGGTTAAATTTATTCCTAAGGGTTTTACTGTTCTTGATACAATTATAAATGGAATTGTTTTCTTAACTTTTTAGATAGTTTGTTGTTAGTATATAGAAGTGAAACTGATTTTTGTATGTAGATTTTATATCTTGCAATTTTACTAAATTCATGTGTTAGTCTAACAGGTTCTTGGTGGATCGTTAGGGTTTTCTATATAAGATCATGTTGTCTATGAGCAGACAATTTTTTTACTTTTTGATTTGGGTAAGTTTTGTCTCTTTTTCTTGCCTAATTGCTGTGGCTAGGAATGCCAGTACTATGTTTAATAGAAGTGGCAAGAGTGAGCATTTTTGTATTGTTCCTGATCTTCGAGTAAAGGCTTTTAACTTGTCACCACTGAGAATTATGTTAGCTTGTCATATAGGGCCTTTATTATGTTGAGGTACATTCCTTCCATACCTAATTTGTTGAGAGTTTTTATCATGAAAGGGTGTTGAATTCTGTCAATTTTTTTTCTGCCTCTAATGAAATGATCATATGATTTTTATTATTTATTCTGTTAACGTGGTATATCACATATGCTGATTGCTGTATGTTGAACCATGCTTGCACCCCAGGGATAAATCCCACTTGATTATGGTGCGTGATCCTTTTGATGTGTTGTTGAATTCAACTTGCTGGTATTTTGTTGAGGATTTTTGCATCTATGTTCATATAGGATTTTGGCCTATAATTTTCTTTTCTAGCAGTGTCCTTGTTTGGCTTTGGTATCAGGGTAATGCTGGCCTAATAAAAGAAGTTTGGAAGTGTTCTTTCCTCTTCAGTTGTTGGGAAGAGTTTGAGAATGATTGATATTAATTCTTCTTTAAATGTTTGGTGAAATTCACCCATAAAGTTGTCTGGTCCTCGGCTTTTATTTGTTGGGAGGTTTTTCATTACTGACTCAGTCTCCTTGCTCATTATAGGCCTGTTCAGATTTACTTCATGATTCACTCTTGGTAAGTTGTATGTTTCTGGTAACTTATTCATTTCTTCTAAATTACCTAATTTGTTGGTGTATAATTGTTCATATTAGTTTCTTATGATCCTTTGTACTTCTGTAGTATCAGTTGTTATGTCTTCTCTTTCATTTATAATTTTATTAATTGAGCCATTTATCTTTCTTAGTCTAGCTAAAGGTTTTTCAGTTTTGATTATCTTTTCAAAAAAACCAACTCTTAGTTTCATTCATCTTTATTTTTTTTCTAGTCTCTATTTCATTTATTTCTGCTCTAATCATTATTATTTCTTTCCTTCTGCTACCTGTGGACTTACTCCTTTTTCTAGTTCTTCGAGGTGTAAGGTCCAAACATAGACAACAACAAAATATAAGCAAACTGAATTCTATTTTTCATTTTTACTTTTTTCTCCTCTGACTGGATGATATCAAAGGTTCTGTCTTCAAGTTCACAGATTCTTTATTCCTTAGTGGACCAAATCCTGGATGATGTCCTCATTCCCTCTCTCCTTCTTTCCCATAAAGCCCATCAGTCCCTAAGCCAATCCCTCTTCCTCCTGGTTTGCTATCCTGTCGCCTCCTCTCTGTAGTCACGGCTCAAACTGACTCAGAACTTTTGTTCTCCTACCTGGACCCAGACCTCAGGCTCTTCCCTGGCCTTAGTCTCTTCCCTGCAGTCCATTTCGTACGTGGTCCTAGAGGGATCTTTTTGAAACCCACACCTAGGTTACAGAGCCCTATGTTCAAATCTCAGTTAGGACACTGACCCACCACCCCTTGTCCCTCAGTTTCCACTTCTAAACCATCATGAAGTTCTCTGTGCCCTACTAATAAAATACATTTTGAATCCATCTACTTGTCTTGAACTCCAAGTTCTAATCCAGGCTCTTAGTATTTTTCACACAAATAACTGTAATTGCTTCTGAACTGACTGCAGTAGGTTGAATGGTGAATCCCTCCCCACAAAAAAAGATATGCCCATATCCTAGAATCTGTGACCCTATTTGGAAAAAGAGTTTGTAAAGAGTTTGTTTTTTTGTAGATGTAATTAAGTTAAGGATATTGAGAAGAGATCAAACTTGATTATTTGGATGGGCCCTAAATCTAATGACAAGTATCCTATATCATAAAAGACACACAGAAAAGACACAGGGAGAGGAGGAGGATGCCAGGTGAAGAGAGAGGCAGAGATTGGAATTATTCAGCCACAAGCCAGAGAACTGCAGGGGCCATCATAAGCTGGAAGAGGCAAATCTCTGATTCTCCCCTAGGGCCTCTAGAGGGAGTACAGCCTTGCTAACACCTTGACGTTGGACTTCTGGCTTCCAGAATTGTGTGAGAATAAATTTCTGTTGTTTTAACCTACCAAATTGTGATAATTTGTTCTTGCAGTCACAGGAAATGAATACACCAATCTTCCCCTTTCCATCCACTATTTTCTTCCTCAGAGATGAGTACATGGGTAACTGGAGGGCCAAGGAAAGGTGGTAGATGATCACCAATTTGGTTTCTTCTTTCTTAGGCACATAGGAAGACTACATTTCCCAAGTCTCCTTGCAATGAAGTTGAGGCCATGTGACTGGTCTTGGGCCAGTGGAGTGGGTGCAGAGTGATGTAGGCCACTTCTAGACTTGGCCATAAAATATCCTGTACAATTTTTACTTTGTCTCTCTTCTTTCA